GTGAGGTCCATGTGGATAACCACCATTTAAAGGTATCTGCCATGAACAAGTGGTCTTGTAAAATTCTTCCTTACTCTCTCCCACTTCCAACTACTGGTCCTTCCTCTTGGTTTCCAATATCCACAGTCTCCAGTCACCAGTAGTCATCAGTGCATCTTGATTGATCATTTTGATCCATTTTAGACTGCCCACGTTAGTAAAATTTTCTATTTCTTCGTCTTTGGCATTAGTGATTGATGCATAAACTTGACTAATAGTCACTTTAACTGGTCTTCTTTGTGTTGTTATTAAGTGGCATTGAGTCGATTCCTACTCAAAGGTATCCTGTTTGGAGTTTCCAGGAGCGGTTGGTGGTTTTAAACCACTCACCTTGCAGTTACAGTGCTTATCCTGTAGTACCACACTAGGTCTGTAGGTATATAGATATTACCTTATTACAGTATTATATTTCAGGATAAATCTTAAAGTGTTCGTTTTAGCAGTGAATGTAAGACTGTTTCTCTACAATTTGTCATTCCTGTCATCGTAGATCATGATTGGCTGATTTCAAATGGAATCAGTTTGAGTCCATTTGAACTCTCACTTATACCTAGGACCTAAAATATGAACAAGTGACATAAGAGAGCTAAGTAGAAGATTTCAAAGGGTGGCTCGAGAAGACAAAGTATTATAACGAAAAGTGCAAAAGGCCTGTAGTTAGAAAAACAAAAGGAAAATGAGTTTAGCATTACTTGAGCTGAAAGAACTGGAAGAAAAAAAAAACCCTCAAGTCTCAAGTTGCAACACTGAATGATTCTAAGGGCAAGAAATTGAATGACGTAGAGAGAGTATCAGAAACATCAAATGGAATACCTCCGTTTCAGGAGAGATCATATAATCTAGAACTGATGGTTCTTAAGAAGTTCAAGGTGCATGGAAGGCATTAGTGAAAACCAATGTTCTGTGTATAGATGGAATACAAATTGAGATGTTCCCGCAAACAAATGCAGTGTTGGAAACACCGACTTGTCTCCGCCAAGAAATTTGAAGAAAGCTATCTGGCTAACCAACTAGAAGAGATTTAGATATGTGCCTATTCCAAACAAAGGCAACCCAACAGAAATTAGTAAACAGGATCATTAATACCCACACAGTAGAATTTTTGCTGAAGAGAATTGTAGCAATACATCGACAGGGAGCTGATAGAAATTGAATCCGATTCAGAAGAGGACATGGGATAAGGGATATCATTGCTGGTGTCCGATGGGTCGTAGCTGAAAGCAGAGGGTACCAGAAAGATGTTTGTTGTTGTTGTTAAGTGCCATCTAGTCAATCCCGACTCATAGCCACCATGTATAGGATTTCGAGGAGCTGATGGTGAGTTTGAGGTTTTGACCTGTTGTTATTCACAGTCCAGTTTGTATCTTACAGCGCCACACCAGGACTCCCAGAAAGCTGTTTACTTGTGCTTTGTTGACTATGCAAAAGCATTCGATCATAGAAAACTATGGATCACACTGGGAAGACTGGGTGTTCCTGAACACTATGTGCTCATGAGGAACCTGGACATAATACAGCAAGAGACCGCCATCACTGAACTGATCAAGGGGCTACTCAATGTTTTCAAATTAGGAAAAGAGCGTGCCAGGTCTGGATTCTTTAACCATACTTACTCAATCTGTTAGTCATCCAAGAAGTTGGATTCTATAAAGAAGAACATGGTAACAGGACTGGAAGAAGACTCATTAACGGCCTGTGATGTGCAGATGGCGCAGCAATGCTTACTGAAAGCAAAAGAGGGACATGGGGTATGTTCAAGGCCATATTTTAGTTCTTATAGACTTGTTTTCATTTTCTTCAGCATCAGCCTGAAGTTGCATATGAGCAATTGATGGTCTGTTCCACAGTCTGCCCCTGGCCCGGTTTTGACAGATGACATGGAGCTTTCCACAGAAGTAGTTAATTTGATTTCTGTGTATTCCATCTGGTGAGGTATTTTTAGTTCCTCATATGTGTATGAAAGCTGGACAATGAATAAGGAAGACTGGAGAAAACCGATGCATTTGAGTTATGGTGTTGGAGGAGAATATTGAAAGTACCATGGATGGCCAGAAGAACAAACAGATCTGTCTTGGAAGAAGTTCAGCCTGAGTGCTCCTTAGAAGCCAGGATGGTGACACTTCATCTCATATACTTTGGCTTCTTCCTTATTTTTCTCAACTCCATTGTAAATAAAGTGTTTTGGAACATTTTATAATCATTTTCTGAATTCCTTCTCAGGCATTTCCAAGGCCTGCCCTCCTTCCAGAATGGAGTCCAGGTCTACCTCTAGGTCATTTGTCTCAGACATTTTATCTTTTTTCTGGACATGAGCTGATATGGTCATCTGCTTTTTCTTCTTGGACATGTTTAGTGTTTATCTGTGGCCTTAATACTTAATTGAGTATGTGTTTTGGTAATTTT